TATTATTATCATTATCATTATTGTTGTAAGACTAATATTATAGGATTGAATAATATTAATAAAACTGATCTGATAGTAAAATTTTTAAATGAATTGTTATTTCTTGTCGAATAGTTCGTCCCCCAATAATTTTTTTCAAAAAAATAAAATAAAATAAAGCAAAAAAGCAAAAAAAAAAAAAAAAAAAAGCATAAGAGGTGTAAGAACATACTGTGCATCTGTCACCGTAAGTGTACCAAGACCACCCTCAGAATATTGTGTACATCTTGGTGGATCACAAACAGGACCCCAGTTAAGACGCCAATTGATGTATGGTTCAGGTACAGCTACCGCTTTGCATGTCAACTGGAAAGTACCACCAGTATGCACTTGTTTATTCGTTTCCGGTGGTTGCACAATTGTTGGTTGTACGCATCCAATCTTTAAATAATATATTACAATTAATTTACCAAAAACAAACATCAAAGAAAATTTTGTTATGTTTTCCACTTCTTATAAAAGAAACTAAATTGTTATAAAATGGAAATTAAAATTTTATATTAGAACAGTTTAAAAGAAAAATAACAAATGGTGAGAAAAGTAGCTTTAGTAAGCTTTTATTAAAAGTGGAATAATTTTGACCGAATTTAAAGTAGTAAAAAAGTAATTTAAATTTAAAATGACAATTTTGTTCATGCTTATTCATGCTTTTTCCTCAGATTACTTAAAAATAGTGAATGTTGTGTAACTTAAAACCAAACAATTCTAAATAATTAATTATCTCAATTGTAATCATCCCACTTCCTGACACAGTAATCTGCAAATACATAGAAAAAAAAATTAATGGAAAAAAGGATGAAAAACTTTTCGGGCACAATAAAGTGCGTATTGTAGAGCAATAATATTGAATTTCGGTGAAAATTGTGTCGCATTAAATAGCCAAATAATCACTCCATATTGATTATAGCAAAATAATCACTTCATATTGATTATCGCAGAACAATCACTTCATATTGATTACCGCAGAGTAATCACTTCATATTAAACAGCGCAGAAAATCATGTATTAGATATCGTAGAACAACCACATGATATTGAATGTCGCAAAATAATCATGTCATATTGAATAACCACAAAATGATCACATCATAGTGATTGTTGCAGGATCACGTTATATTGAATATCGTGAAACAATCACGTCATATTGAATACTACAGAATAATCACTTCGTATTGAACGTTGAAGAAAATCACATCATGTTGAAGATGGCAGAATATGATATTGATTATCGAGAAATAATCGTGTCATATTGAATATGGTAAATAATTACGTCATATTGATTATCTCATGATGATGTTCATAGTGAATACCGCAGGATAATCACGTCATATTGAATACCAGTGAATAATCACGTCATATTGATTGTCTCAGGATCATGTTCAGAGTGAATATCGCAGAGCAATCATGTCATATTGATTATCTCATGATGATGTTCATAGTGAATACCGCAGGATAATCACGTCATATTGAATACCAGTGAATAATCACGTCATATTGAATAACAGCGAATAATCACATCATATTTAAAAGTATCTTCAAATGTTATAATTTTTAGTCTTTTCAAAGGGAAAAAAAAAATGAATGAAAACCTCATCAGATCCATCCTGACAATCATTAGTACCATCACAATGGAAACTAAGTGGAACACATTGTCGACCATCACGACATTTGAATTCCCTTGTTGAGCAACCATCAGCTGGAACTCGATGACTACAAGCTTGTTCATCTGAATTATCACCACAATCATCATCACCATCACAGAGCCACATTTTTTGCACACAGCGACCATTATTGCATTTGAATTCGTTTGGTTCACATGAACGTATCGATGGACAATTCTGTTATTAAAATATTCGCTAATATCAAAATGAAATTAATTAATTATCCTAATTAAGCATAAAAGAAATTATTCCGATTCAAAGATTATCAAAATTATTATAATTTAATTCTGATAATAAAATTATCAAAATTATCTTTTCATAGTATTCGAATTTTTATTTAGTGTCGCCAAAATCGTGAGGAGAAGCAATGAATCAATAACTCCTTTTTTTTAATTTAATACTATAATATTGTATATGTGAATATATTATGCAATGTAGAATGTAAGCTAAAATTGTGTGTCAATTGTGTTTATGTACTTTAAACAAAGAGATCCATTCCATACGCGCTAATAGGGCGGAGTGATAATTCTTTATGATCTCAGAATATCACCAAAGATCTTCCCTATTCGTGAAGGAAGCAGAGAGGGTCATGAGTCATCATGAAACATTTCTCAAGATATGTATTCCAGTAAGATCAATTGAATAGATGATATCGAGCATCGGATGGGTTTCCTTTTCCAATTGATATCCTCATTAATTTGTCTTATCAAAAATCATAATTGTTGAGTTCGTTGTTGTATTAATAAACTTATTGCGATGAAGATTTAATTACCTAAGTTTGAGGTACAAATTATCAAGTAAAGAGGCAGAAATAACCCTATCTTTGTCATAGTTGAAAAAAAAAAATCGTCAACAATTAGAAGAATATTAATTAGTTCTAAATTTACTATTCTAAAATGCAAATTAAAATTAACTTAATATTGCTCATTTACTTTATACATATGGTATTTAAGCTTGAAATTTGTTATTTAAAAATCCTTCAACCAAAATTTACCAACCTGTTCATCACTACGATCTCGGCAATCCGGTTCACCATCACAAATATATTCACTTTTTACACATTCATTATTACCGCAAGCTCGTTCATCAACACGACATATACCCGTTTGTGGTAGCATACTTTGCAATTCTTGTGGCCCATCTGCAGTGGACAAAATGAAATTGTACCGAAATTCCCTAATTACCCTATGGAGAGAGAAAAAAAAAACGAAACTTTACCTGTAAATTACTTATCAACTCGAAGTATTCCTGCGAAACTTACCTGAACTTTACCTCTGTTTTTCACTCATTAATTGACTTAATTTGAAAATACCTAGCAAATTCATTATGTCAGATTTGTTGCATGAAATATCTTGAAACAACCGAAAAACAAACATAAAATAGTGAATGAATTAAATTTAAAATCATCCAAAACAAACATTCAAATTTAATTTGAAATCATTGCATACGCTAAAGTAATCAGAAAACATGAAACAACCGGAATTTGAGGTAAAATACTGAACAAATTTAATTCTAATTTATATTAGAAATAATAATTAAAAGAAAAGTAAAACAACCATAATTTAGTATGAAAGTACCATTTTTTAATATTTCCATTATTTTGCTTATATTTAAACCGAAAAGTTTTTCCGTATATGAATTGGTCTATCAGTCATTTTTAATTCAATAAATTATTGTAATATGAAGTTTGTTTTTAATATAATCCTATTATAAAATCCATTAAATTGGTTCTCATTTTTTGGAAATCTTTCTAAAAGTTCTATTAAGACGAGCATTTAGCTTAGTTAAATTTGAAGTTTACTTTTAAACTTTTGCATTAAAAATTTTTTGAACCATTTTTTTGATAAGAATAAAATATTTGAAGGGAATATTTTTGATAATAAATTTGATCCATTTTAATATTATTTCATTTTTTTTTTTTTTCAAACAAGATATTTTCATCCTCATTTATAAAACACATTCGTATACACATGACACGTCAAAGAATCCCATTAAATGAAAAATTAAACTGCTTGAAATTTAATGTCATCATAAACTATACTAAACATATTTTTCATCAAGCAACAAGTTAATGAGTAATAATTGTCAATTCAATTAAATTGAGCTGAAATTTAAATTACAAATTTAAGTTTAAATCCAATTGGATGACTTTTTTTTTTTTTTAAATGTTTACAAATATCATTATGAACCAATTTCATGCATTTCCAAGTATTTTTTTTTAAATTCCTAAATTTAATTTAATATTAACTATGGTAATTAAAAAACATAGTAGAATGTAATGTATACCAAATAATTTAGAAAAAAAAAAAATTGAATTGAAAATTTGTTATAATTGCGAAAAAAATTTTTTCATTACAATTTTTTATTTGTAAAATTAAAATGATATCAGGTAAGATGCTTTCTCTCTTATTTAAATAATGAAATAATTAATTGGTTTGAGTTTGAATTTTATCGAATTAATGTTTATATCTTTATAATTTAAACAAAGAAACATTTTGTTTTCTTCTTTTTTATGAAAATAAGCAGCACACAGATGAGGTTTGTTTTTTTTTTAATTTAGTTCAACTTTATGGAAAAATTAGAAAGATAGGTAGAATTTAAATTTTAGCAAACTATCTATTCCATCAAATTTGTTGTTTAGAAAAAAGACATCATTAATTCGTTAATTTTCATTTTGCTTTTAAATCAAAAATATTTCGAATTACTTTTAACTTATTAGAATTCCAATTACTTCCAACTTATTAAAATTCTAACAAATATAACTTTCATTTGTCAATAAAAAATTAATTAACTTTTTATACTTTAATATCGGCTCTTTTTTATTTTCGCTTTTTTCTTTTGTCAATTACTGTAATTAGTTAATTTTTTTTTTTTATTTTCAATCTCCCTCTTCTGCCATAAATTTCATTTTTCTTTTTTTTTTACCAAAAAGAAAAGTAAAAAAAAAAAGGTTCATTTCCGGTGTAACTTTTTTTTTTTTCATTGCTAAATATTTATTCTGTTAACAAAATAGTACGAAAAATTAAAACGCACAAAAAACAAAAAAAAAGAAAAAGAAAAACAGGTTCGATGCATTTTTATTTTATTTTTCATTTCCTTTTTTTTTTCTTAGGCTAACTTCAATTAATATACTATTGTCATTTTTTTTTTCTGAAAAAAAACGAAGTAGAAAAAAATAAAATTTGAAAGTACAATAATTAAACACACTTTGTTTAGGCTTCATTCTTTTCTTCTTTTTTTTGTCTATTCCTTACCTTTTCAATCTTTTATTTTTTACCTTTCACCTTTCACATTCCATTT